ATCAATTGTCAGTGTCACGTTGGCTCCCGGCAAGCTGGGGGGTGCTTTGCCCCCCCACCTTCCCCCCACCCCAACCCCCACCCCACTGCCCACTCCCCAGTGACGCCCTCACGGTTCCCACGGAAGTCCAGGGTTCCAGGGTTCTGCCCCGCCGTTGGGTTTGCTACACGCACTGTTTCATTACGATCCCCGCACCCCTGCCACGAGCCTCCCGCCTCCGCGTAGGAAGCTTCGCAGCACCCTTCTCGTGACGATGGTGAGCATTCTGGCTTCCTTTGCAGGAGCAGTTTGCTAACCAAAAAGCAGGATCAAGCTGCTCGGAAAATAATGCGGTTTCTACGACGCTGTCGCCACAGGTAGGTACATGCATCCGCATCTGTGCCTTTGTCTCGTCACGTCACGGCTCACAGAACAGCCTGATCGCTGAGCCGCTCATTCCCCCCACAGAGGCCAGCCCCCCTCCTGCAGAGAGTCAGGGCCAACCTCCCGGTGACAGCGGGACATAGAACTCCTAACTAGGGACTGAGCTGCTGCCGAGTGGAGCTCCGTGCCGGCGTTTCTGGTTTCCTTCGGTGTGAGGACAGCTTAGTTGGATGAGCTTTCATTCCAGTTTCCCTCTGAGCTGCGATTTCCGGGCCCCATCGCTGTCTGCTCTTCACCGTGAGCCTCACTGGGCTGCTGTGCATCCAAAACACAAAGAAACGCATTCTCTTCTCCAGGAAGGAGAGAAGTGGACTGTCTGGGGGTGGCTGGCGCCCTCTGCTGGACGCGGGGCAGACAGCAGGCTCGAATCCCCCAGGAAAGCCAGGCTGCGGAGGGACCGGAGAGATTCTAGGGAAGGGCGCCCCTGAGGTTAGAGGCCCACGTTCAGCAGCAGACAGTGGGTCCCCCAGACCCTGCCCCTTCCCGGGGAGCCAGGCCAGCGGGCTTTCTCCGTGTTTCCCCCTGAGCTGGACTTTTCTTGGTGCAGATCAGGCTCTGTCCTTGGATTCGGGGGGGCTGGTGCAGAGCTGGTTTCCTTCGCTCAGGCCGTCTGTCCTTGGATTCGTGACAGTGGCCTCCGGCTGTGACAGTGGCCTCCGGCCGCCAGGCCGCTGTCCCTGTGGTCCTGGCGTTTCTGGGAGCCGTGCTGCTCGCTCACCGCCCGGCCTGTCCATTCGCCCCAAAAGCCCATGTCAGGTCCAGTCCATTCCTAGAGGTTTCGTTTCACTTTTGCTTTTCTTACTCCTCAAGCCACCTGCTCGCGAACTTCGAAAGCATTTGGACTTTGAGTCTTCACAGGGGCTCACTGGCTGCCTGTACTTTTACTTAAACGAACAAAAGAATTCATTTCCGTGGCGACAGAAGGGACCAGGGCCGGAGCCACACGTTAGCAATAATAAAATCTTTAAATCAGTGGTTCTCAACCTTCCTAATGCCGCGATCCCTGAATACAGTTCCTCATGTTGTGGTGACCCTCAATTTCATTGTTACAAATTGAACATAATGAAAGCATAGTGATTCATCACAAAAACAATATGTAATTATATATGTGTTTTCCGATGGTCTTAGGCGACCCCTGTGAAAGGGTCATCCGACCCCCAAAGGGGTCGCGACCCACAGGTTGAGAACCGCTGCTTTAAAAAGTGCCTCCTTTCGGATATGGCGTGTGTCCGGAGGCCAGAACGCTCTGCCAGGAGTTATCATACTCTCAGCTGCCCGCTCGCTCTCCACCGGGATTAGCTGGCGGGTAGACGCCAGGAGACGCCCCATTGATGCGGACACAGGTCTCGCTAGGAAAGGCAGGTCCCTGTGGGCTATGCTCTGAGGTCAGTCCCACCAGCCTCACCCACACCAGCCTTTGTCACTCCGTCCTGCGTGGAGTCCTCACACCCGAAGAGAGGGGTTTATTTCCTTCCTCCAGGGGGGTGTCCAGGACCCCCCCCCCGCCCTTTCCACGCGCTCACGGAGGTCAGCACCCTCCTTCCCGCGAAGCCCCCGGGGCTCCCTCCTGAAGGGCGGGGGGCTGCGGTGCCTGCTTCCCAGACAGTTTGTTGTCAAGGAAATTGCCTTTACAGTCCCTTCCTGAGGCCCCTCCGGCAAACCCCGTGCCCACCAGTTCATTTTTCCTGTTCCTTTCGCCTGCGCCTTGGCTTTGACCACGAGGCCGGCGGTGCAGCCCCGATGAGGGAACTGAGCCTTTTCCTTCTGTGGCCACAGCCCGGGCTGCTCCATCGGGTGCGGGGCGAAGGCCACCTCCAGAGCGGGCTGAGCCGAGCTGTCCTCATCCTGTGTTTAGAGTCCTCTTTCATGAGCTGGCAGAGGAGAGGGCCACGGAGGTTTGCCCGTCACTGGTTCCCCCTTTAACTGGCAGAGGCCTGGGCAGCCACAGGGAAGGTGTGTGAGGAAGAGAACGTCAGGCTCTGAACTCCGGGTCGGCCCGTGATTCGGGGTGAAAGGCCCCGTTGGCCCGCTCGGTCACGTGCCCGCCCCTGGTTCGGGTTTTAGACGCGGGCAGGGAGCCTGCAGTGACCTTTGGCCTTTGGACGCGGCTGAGATGGCACTCACTCCGCTCCTTGTCGGTGCGGGAGCCGAGGGGACCCCGAGAGCCTCCCCTGGGAGGTGGAGCTCATGCCTCCCTCGGACGGACGGACGGACGGGTGCGGCCCTGCTTCCATCAGGCTCACGAGCCGTGTTCTCAGAGGCAGTCCCTGTGGCTTGTCACTTGGAGGCATCAAAACAGGAGGCCTCCCGGGACCCCTCTGAGGCAGGTAGGCAGGCAGTGGCTTCAGGAGTCCCATCGCTTAAGGACTTGCTGTCACATGACCCCAACGCTTCTAGACTTAAAAATAAGTTGGTGCCCTGGCTGGTGTGCTCAGTGGTCAGAGCATCCGCCTGCAGACTGGAGGGTCACGGTCTCGATTCCCAGTCCAGGGCACGAACCTCGGGTGCAGGTTCCCCGGCACTGGTAGGGGCTCCTGCGGGCGGCAGCCGATCAGCGTGATCTGTCACGTCGATGTTTCTCCCTCTCTCTCTGTCTCCCCCCTCTTCTCCCTCCCTTCCACTCGCTCTCTCTCTAGAAATCAATGGGGAAAATCTCCTCAGGTGAGGATTAAACAAAAATAATAACAACAGGAAATAAAAAATACTCAATTGGTAGACTCCCTACCTGCTCATCTCACCTACCAGACCACCACGCTCCCTTTCCCTCCAAGGAACCACTTTAAACTCTCTGCTTGTGTTGAAGTAAAGCTATGTGCGAGCCTCTGTCGTGAGCCTCCGTGCTAATAGCTGTCTGGTGTTGTTTTACTGTCTGAAGCCCCCTGGCGGACCATAGGCTGTACAAAAGGGTGAGTGAGCTGCCTGCAGGCCCGTTCACCTTGCCTCCATTTTCAGTCTTTTGCTTTCTGCTTGCTTGCATGGGGCTGCGCCGACGTATGCAGTAAGTTTCACATCCATTGAATGAAATGAGACGCGAGTGAAACTAACCCTGACTACTAACCCTGCTCCTGCCTAGGAGAACAGTCACCCCGGGCAGGCGTGCCGATGCCCGATGCATGAGCAAGCGAAGGGGGGGCGCGGAGGCCGCACCGGGCATGCGGAGGAGGGGGAGACGCCTCCGGTGCACACGGGCGGCTGGGGGCACACGTGGGACTCGCAGGCTGAAGCAGGGAGCGAGTGGGTACTTGTGAGCGAGGTCATTGGCCTCGCGAACTTCTCTCATCTGCTGGGTCCAAATTTCTAAAGCAAGAAGGCTCCCTGGGTGGTCTCGGCTTTGTGCTCTTTAATGAATCTCTATCTTGTGTAGAATGGCCGTTTCCAGGCCCCTGTCCCTCCCGTGTTATTTTCTAATCTCCCTCCCCTGGCGCTTCGAGGTCAGTCAGGGCCCAGAGCCGCCCTGTCAGCATCACCCCGACGTGACGTTCGCTGTAACAACGCCAGCGCAGCCGACCTCCAGCGTCTCAGGGCAAAGCCGGCCGGGGGTGCGGTGCGGGGGCCTCACCTCCGTGCGTCCAGCTGCAGCTCAGAGACGACGCTCCCGTCGTCGGCGTTTTAAAGACATGATGGCGCATGGGCCTCGGTCTGCCTCAGAGCAGGATGCTCCTGTGTCAGCGGGCAGCGGGTGAGCGTCCCCGCTGGTGGGACTGGGACGTGTCTTAAGCGGCAATCGAGGATTTCATGCCAGAAAACTGGTTTAAAACCTGGAAATCTAAGTCACCGAACACAGGCTTCCATGTAGATTAATTTGTCCACGTTTGTCTTGTACGTACGTCGTGCTGAGAGAAGACGCCCCGGAAATATAACGTGGAAATCTCTCTCGACTTCCCGTGGCCCTCCCCCCGCCTTCACTCTGCACCAACAGGCACATAGGCACCTGCGAGATTTCCGCGGAAAGAGCAGCCTTCAAAACGCCTGAAGCTTCGCGTGTTTCCCGAGGTGTTACTCCCCACGGACTGCATCTGTGTCGACGCTGATGTCAGTTCATTCTAGCGGAAGCCAAGGGTCCGCTGGCTTTTCCTTCAAAGGTCAGGCCGTCTCCATGGCAACCACTGGGTGCTGCCATCACAGCTGGACCACAGCTGTGGAGAGTCCCTGGGCAGAGCGGGTGGCCCTTCTCACAAGATGGCCCTTACAGAGACGCTCGGGCCGAGCCGGCCCAGGGGCCCTAGCTTGCCGACCTGCAGTACCAGGAGAATTGAGTTTTTATAAGTTCTTCGAAACCAGGCCTCGTTTCTGTAAAAGGTTTAAAGTCTCGCCCGTGTAAACCCATGGTCGTCACATCGAAGGGGCCACTTGTGTGAAAGATCACGAGGAAGCAGCCACGCGCTTTTGTGAGTGGAACTAGTCCGTCTCGCAGGGCTGGGCGCGCGGAACAGTCGGGGTCCCGGGCGGCAGAGCCGGCTCGGAGGGGCCTGTGTGTGGGGTTCAGGAGAAGAAGGGGACGGGAGTCTCCTTGGTCCCTTCCCGGTCCCTCTCGCCCTCGGCACACAGCGATGATGCTTCGCCCATTTAGAAGCTTTTCCGAAGGGAACACTGCGTGCCCTCGATTCCGCTGAACTGCCAGCCGCACGGCCTGGCCTGTGCTACCAGCTTCCCGCCTCTGCTGCCAGGAGCCGGCATTTAGTGAAAGCGGCTGCTGCGCTGTGAGGCGTGTTAGCTCCCGGCGTGTGAGGGGCCGTGGTTAAGACCTCGTTTCTCAGGGATGCTCTTCAGTGCCAGCTGGTGTCCTCCTCAATTTCCCAGGCGCCCCCTCCATCCGTCCTGAGCTCCCAGAAGTCCCCGCAGGAAGTCGGGATTCACAGCCTCCTTCCGCCCAGAGCCTGTAGGGGGGTCCGGGCAGAGGAGCTGAGAAGCCTCCGGGTCCTTCTAGAACGTTCGTCTTTACCTCGCCCGGTGACTCGAGGGAGAGCTGGCCTCTGGCTTTATCTGACGGCCAGTGCGATCGCTCCCTCCCTGTCCCCTCACAGAGGTCGCAGGGACACTCCTCCTATCCCCATGCTGAGCTGGCTCTTGGGGGCAGGACATTCTCTGGGGAGGAGCCACGTCCCTGGGGTGGGTGTGAAAGAAGGTGATGCACGCACTTGGTCAGCTGATGAAGCACTGACGCCGCCGCGGTTTCCCCGGGAGAAGAACTAGGTGGAAACTTAATTAAACGTCACGGGACGGTGTCTGTGGAACGCTGGGCGACCCCAACCCCTCGGTAACGCCCCAGAGGCTCCCTGGCGCGGGACGACGTCGGCCACCAGGACTGAGACACAGCAGCCGAGGCCCCAGCACAGCAGCCAGGAATGCACCCCACTTTCCGTCTTCACTCGGGGCGGGCTAAGGAGAAGCTTTGTCCCTGCGGGCTTAGCTGTAAAAAGGCTAACAAAGCCTTAAAAAGCGTCTTCAGGTTCTCGCTGACATCCTAGGGGTGTGTCTGGTCTGGGACGCCCTCGCTGCCCGTTTAGGAGGAAGCTTTTTGGACACGGAGGTGGAGCCGACAGCTTCACTCCCTCCCTGGTGAGAGATGCCCGGCTGCTCTCGGCCGGTGCCGGCAGGATGGCTGAGGCCGAGACACCCCTCGCGCACCTGCTGGGAGCCTGCTTCCCCGGGGGCTGCGCCGGGCAGGTAACAGGCCGTTCCTCCATCCAATGGCGGCGACCCAGGTCCCCACGCGGAAGGGAAATGGTCAGGAGTGGGCCTGCATAACGATCTATCCTCGAGGCGGGGCTTCGTGACCTGTCACATCACTGCAGGCCATTACAGGCACTGCAGGTCATTACAGTCAGTCACTGCAGGTCATTACAGTCAGTCACTGCAGGCCATTACAGTCAGGCACGGCTGGTCATTACAGGCACTGCAGGTCATTACAGTCAGTCACTGCAGGTCATTACAGGCACTGCACGTCATTACAGGCACTGCACGTCATTACAGTCACTACAGGTCAATACAGGCACTGCACGTCATTACAGTCACTACAGGTCAATACAGGCACTGCACGTCATTACAGTCACTACAGGTCAATACAGGCACTGCACGTCATTACAGTCACTACAGGTCAATACAGGCACTGCACGTCATTACAGTCACTACAGGTCAATACAGGCACTGCACGTCATTACAGTCACTACAGGTCAATACAGGCACTGCACGTCATTACAGTCACTACAGGTCAATACAGGCACTGCACGTCATTACAGTCACTACAGGTCAATACAGGCACTGCACGTCATTACAGTCACTACAGGTCAATACAGGCACTGCACGTCATTACAGTCACTACAGGTCAATACAGGCACTGCACGTCATTACAGTCACTACAGGTCAATACAGGCACTGCACGTCATTACAGTCACTACAGGTCAATACAGGCACTGCACGTCATTACAGTCACTACAGGTCAATACAGGCACTGCACGTCATTACAGTCACTACAGGTCAATACAGGCACTGCACGTCATTACAGTCACTACAGGTCAATACAGGCACTGCACGTCATTACAGTCACTACAGGTCAATACAGGCACTGCACGTCATTACAGTCACTACAGGTCAATACAGGCACTGCACGTCATTACAGTCACTACAGGTCAATACAGGCACTGCACGTCATTACAGTCACTACAGGTCAATACAGGCACTGCACGTCATTACAGTCACTACAGGTCAATACAGGCACTGCACGTCATTACAGTCACTACAGGTCAATACAGGCACTGCACGTCATTACAGTCACTACAGGTCAATACAGGCACTGCACGTCATTACAGTCACTACAGGTCAATACAGGCACTGCACGTCATTACAGTCACTACAGGTCAATACAGGCACTGCACGTCATTACAGTCACTACAGGTCAATACAGGCACTGCACGTCATTACAGTCACTACAGGTCAATACAGGCACTGCACGTCATTACAGTCACTACAGGTCAATACAGGCACTGCACGTCATTACAGTCACTACAGGTCAATACAGGCACTGCACGTCATTACAGTCACTACAGGTCAATACAGGCACTGCACGTCATTACAGTCACTACAGGTCAATACAGGCACTGCACGTCATTACAGTCACTACAGGTCAATACAGGCACTGCACGTCATTACAGTCACTACAGGTCAATACAGGCACTGCACGTCATTACAGTCACTACAGGTCAATACAGGCACTGCACGTCATTACAGTCACTACAGGTCAATACAGGCACTGCACGTCATTACAGTCACTACAGGTCAATACAGGCACTGCACGTCATTACAGTCACTACAGGTCAATACAGGCACTGCACGTCATTACAGTCACTACAGGTCAATACAGGCACTGCACGTCATTACAGTCACTACAGGTCAATACAGGCACTGCACGTCATTACAGGCACTGCAGGTCATTACAGTCAGTCACAGAGGGTCATTACAGGCAGGCACTGCAGGCCATTACAGGCACTGCACGTCATTACAGGCACTGCACGTCATTACAGGCACTGCACGTCATTACAGGCACTGCACGTCATTACAGGCACTGCACGTCATTACAGGCACTGCACGTCATTACAGGCACTGCACGTCATTACAGGCACTGCACGTCATTACAGGCACTGCACGTCATTACAGGCACTGCACGTCATTACAGGCACTGCACGTCATTACAGGCACTGCACGTCATTACAGGCACTGCACGTCATTACAGGCACTGCACGTCATTACAGGCACTGCACGTCATTACAGGCACTGCACGTCATTACAGGCACTGCACGTCATTACAGGCACTGCACGTCATTACAGGCACTGCACGTCATTACAGGCACTGCACGTCATTACAGGCACTGCACGTCATTACAGGCACTGCACGTCATTACAGGCACTG